GTTCTGACTCAGCAATTCTACTTCCAAGAAGAAATGTACCCTTCAGATGCATTCTTAGGAAATCATAAAGACACCTGCCCGAGGGTGTTCATTTCAGCCTCATTTCCAAAACCAAAAGACCAGAAACAAACCAAATGTCCATCAAAAAACTTTTGCCATGCTGATCATTCATGTAATGGTGTTTTATGCAGCCTTTAAAACTAATGAAGGAGGGGGGGCTCCTGAGTGGCTCGGTCGGTAGACCATGTGAATCATAATTTCAGGATTGTGAGTTCAAGCCCCCCATCAGGGCCTTCATTAAAAAAAGTAAAAATAAAAACTAATGAAGGAGGTTTATCATAGCAATATAGAAAGATATGTTGCCAAAAGAAAAGAGCTAATTACAAAGCATATACTGCATGATATGATTCAAGCAAAACACACAGACACACGTACATGCCATAGGCATGTATATACTCATTTAAATATGCATAGAAAATCCGGGAAGCAGGCACAGAAGCCTATTACCTGTGGTTACTATTTGGGGAATGGAACTGAAAAAGCTGGGTGGGGAGGGTCATTTTAAAACCAATGCTCCTTTATTTGATTATTTATATGTGATATTTCACAAAGAAAATAAAATAATTTCATTACCAACAACAACTAATAACATCTCCCTCCACCTTAACTTCCCAAAGTAGCAGATTTTGATTTGTTTTACATAATCAGTGGTTTTAGATTACTTTTGCTTTGCTTTAATGAAGTCAAACACTACCAAAGATTGAAATGATAGCATTGGCATATGTGGCATTAGGCGGTAAGCATTTCCCCTGTGAGACGCTTCAGTAGCATGACTGATAATTTGGCTAAGTATAAAATTCAAGTTCAAATTTCTTTCTCTTCGGCACTTGGAAGATATTGCTCCATTATCTTTTTGCGTCTACTACCACAATTAAGTTCTCTGTTACAAGTAGACTTGATTCCTGAAATAACAGATAATAACCCCCATTTCAGGCAAAGCAGGATTAGCATGAGCTACAGGATCCATCAGCCAAATCTGACTATGGAGATGTCACAGAAATGAAACACCAAAGTGAAATTGTTGGAGAACAGAAAATAACAAGAGCTGGTAAGGGGAACGTGGACTAAGAGCGAGAGGGGCCAGGTGTCTCCCGCAGGGACTGGGGCTGGGCGGAGCTACCTGGTCGCCCTCAGCTCTGCACGTTCCAGCCCTCATCAGATCGGTGCCTACCCTGCAAAGACAGCAAGACAGGAAAAGGGCCCCTCAAGGCCAGTAAAAGTTTGTGAAAGGGGACATTACATGGTGATGCTGGACCCTGACCGAGTCGGGGAGTGGAAACACAGCTCCTTTCCTCTTTCCTGACGACTAGACTATTATGACCTAAGGGTAAGTTCTGGCTTTGGCAGAAGAAGTACATGGAGAGTCCCTAATGAGTAAGAGCCCCTGGGTAAGTACAGGGTGGAAACAGTGGATGAGCCCAAATTATCACCCCAGAGTCTCTGTACTCAAGGCTGTGAGTCTCCCACCAAGGCCCTTATCTGTGCCTTGAATATTCACATTCCTCAAATTCAACAAGAGGGGGACATGCCTGCTTATAGGCTCTCATCCTCTATCCTCCTCCCAGATCATGACCAAGTGGAATTCATCCCAGCAAACTAAGGTTGGTTTAACACTGAAAAATCAATGAAATTTACCATAACTAAGAAAGAAAAACCATGTAAGCTCCCATTTGATGGAGAAAGATTGTTTGACAAAATCCAACATCCACTATCGATTATTTTAAAAAAACAAAACAAAACCAAAACCAGCTCTCCGCAACCTTAGGAGGAGAAGAGAACTCCCTTGAACCTGATAAAGGGTATTTACAAAAATATATGCCACTAACATCATTATTCGTGGTGAAAGACTGAATGCTTTTCTTTTTCCCTAAGACCAGGAACAAGGCAAGTGTGTCCACTCCTGTAATGTCTATTTAGCACTGTACTAGAGGTTCCATCCACTTCAGGGAGGGACAGGAAGGAAGGAAGGAAGGAAGGAAGGAAGGAAGGAAGAGAGGGAGGAAGGGAGGGAGGGAGGGAGGGAGGGAGGGAGGAGGGAAGGAGAGAAGGAAGGAAGGATGGAAGGGAGAGAGAAATGGAAAAAGAAAGGAAGAAAGAAAGAGAGAAAGAAAAGGCATCAAACTCTGAAAGGACAAAGTAAAACTCTCTTTGTTTATATACAGTATGATCACATATGTAGAAAATCCTTAAGAACCCTACAAAAACTACTAGAGCTAATAAGTGAGTTTGGTAAGGCTGAAGCATACAAGGCCAAAATATAAAAATCAGTTGTAGCTCTGTGTACTAACAACAAAGTATCTGAAATTTAAATTTTAAATAATAATACCATTTATAATTGCATAAAAAATATGAAATAATTAGGGGAGCACCTGGCTGGTTCAGTAGAGCCTATGACTCTTGATCTCAGGGTTGTGAAGTCGAGCCCCACGCTGGGTTTAGAGGTTATTTAAAAATAAAACCTTAGGGCATCTGGTGGCTCAATCAGTCGAGCATCTGATTTCGGCTCAGGTCATGATCTCATGGTTGGTGGGTTCGAGCCCCTCGTCGGGCTCTGTGCTGACAGTGTGGAGCCTGCTTGGGATTCTCTCTCTCCCTCTCTCTGTCCCTCCCTGATTCATGCTTTCTCTCTCAAGATGAATAAATAAACTTAAAAAAATAAAATCTTTAAAAAGTGAAATAATTAGGGATAAATCGGACAGAAGATGGGCAAGATCGAATTACCAAGAGAAATTAAAGACCTAAAGGCACGGACAGATGTACTTCATTCATAGGTCAGAAGGCTCGACATTGTTCACATCATCCCAACTGATATTTGTCGAGTCTCAATGTCGAGTTTGCCCTGGCCTTAGTAGTTGACAGCCCTTGCAGGACAGGGTGGGCGAGGCTGCTGACCTGCAGGGTTTTGGTGAGGGAGAGAGGGGGCAGAGATACTTCTGGTTTCTGCCAGGTGTTGCCAACCACCTAGTGCACCACCGGGTGTCTGACCCACGCTGCCACTCCCACCATTGCATCTAAAGGCAGACACCCTCGAGCTTGAGCCCTGCTTCTGAGGAGCACGAGCCCTGCTTCAGGTGAGCCCACTTTCTCTCTTTCTCCATCTCCCTATCTCTGTCCCTCATGGGATTCTCTCTCTCTCTCTGCCCCTCGCTCACTTGCTCCCACTCTCTCTCTCTCAAAAAAAAATTTAAAAAATAAATAAAGGCAGATTCCCTCACCTTTACCCCTTGTCCCTTGGGGAGGAGAATGTGCAACAGTCAATGGACCCAGTTGCTTCCCCCACAGCATCTGGACCAAGCAAGCCGCCCACAGTGCCCCCAGTTTCTCCCGCTCTGTCTGCACCACCTCTTGACATGGAGCAACGCGTGGGACTCACACACATACCCGGCTTTGAGGTTCCTGAGGACGTTCTCCCATCTGTTTTCTGTCCTCTCTCTGCTGTTCTAGTCTAGGAGGGAGAGCCCTCCCTCCTGCTTTCAAGTGGAACTGTATGGTTTGCTTGCATTTTTCTTACATCTGTTGTTTCTACGAACTTGGTACAGGAAAGTCAACATTGCGGGATGTGTTCAGTCCACCGCCCTGAAACTGGTGCCTTCTCTCGGGCTTCCCGTCCCCTTGCCAGGTCTCTTTCTCCCACCAGAACCCCATCTCAACCCCAAACACCCTGCACCAGGGACTCGGGAAGCTGCCGCACTATCTTCTTCGGAAAAGAAACTCAAGAGCTGTTTGGTCTCCTTGTCCATTGGTTTTGCCCCAGTTGCCCTCGGATGTAACTTCTGGGTTCTAAAGTCAAGTGCAGAGCCCAGCACGACCCACCCCTCGAGGAGTTCTTTGCCCCAGGTAGAGCCCAGAATGGGTTTTGTGAAAATAGACTTTATTATAATAAAATGTCTTTTTAAACAAATGCCCCCACCATTCCACATCCCTGGAAACCAAGGCTGGGGGTGGGGGGTCAGTCGAACGATCTCCCACCACAATGAAGGAAACATGCAGAGACACTCACCCAGCTGCAGGGTTAGAGGGGGCGGTGAGGGTGAGGGTGGAGAGCTCTCTACCCCACTCTGAACAGGGAATGTATGAAAATAGCTGCATAAATCTGTCCTCTTCCCCAGCCCCCAGACTCCGACAGGGACCAGAGGAAGATGATGCAAAAGAGAAGTTGAATCCAATGAGCAAAATAAGGCAAACCCAACTCCTGCTTTCTGCTCGCTGGCTCCAGGGTCTTTGGGGGTGGGACACGCAGGGGCCAGGAGGCCGGGCTGGCAGGGAGGGGTGGAGCACTATGGAGCGGGGGTTAGGCCCGCTTTGGCATGGCCTTTCTCCTTCCTGGGCCTGTGCGGTGGAAGCGACGTGGACTGAGGCACTGAGTATGTACATATATACAGGGTTCCGCCCTGCCTGCCCCATGGGGAGGGGGGCTCCAGGGAATCCAGTGCAAACTTGCCTTCAGGGGAAGGAAGACATGTCAGGAATAGCCAGCCATCGGAGTGGGGAGGATCAAAGAGGGGACTAGTGTCATGGCTGGAAAGTAGGCGTAGGTGGATGGACGGGGAGTCACGGGTCCTGGCTCTGTGGCTGAGGTGCTCAGCAACCTTGACCGAGTTGTTTCCTCACTCTGCAGCTCAATTTCCCCTCCTATAAGAGGCGGATGCCCCTCCAGAGGATTCATCCTTGAGGACTCATCTAGCTCTGACCTTCAAAGAGTCTCTGATTCCCATTCAAGTGCCACAGTGTTAACTCAGAAGAATGGGCGTCCAGGGCCTTCCCCACCCCGTGACCCCGGGGCCTCAGGGGGCTGCTTCTGCCTGCTGGATGGATCACAGCATCACTCCTTCTTCTCAGAACCCAGTTTCCTTAGGAGCTGCTTCCCCTTGGCGAGGAGACCCCACACCTTCTCTCTGGTGCCCTGTAGTCCCCCCAGTTCAATTGTGGGGAAGCTGCCCGGGCCAGGGGCACAGGGCCAGTCTCTGGGCACTGGGGGCCCTTGTGTTGAGCTGGCCCAGTCCTGAAATATGAGAGAAAAGGGACAAAGTCAGGGCCTGGCTCCCTGCCCCAACCCGACTCCTTCGCCTTACAATCTCAGTGCTTCCAGCCCTCCATGTCACAGACCCATGGTCAAGAACCAGAGCCCCACTACCCCCCTTTTGTCCACCCCCCCCCAACACACACACAGAGCTCAGAGAGGTGAATGTGTGTGATGCTGCTCATGAGACTTCTCTGGGTCTCCCTATAGGGTCCTGGGCTGACAGAGCTCAGGAGTCCTTGGACCTGCCCCTCGGGATAGGTGCCCCCAATTCCCCCATGTCACCCCCTCAGAGCAAAGGAAGACCAGGACCACTTAGAGGCAGCCTCCCACCCCTACCCCCCTGGGAAGGCCTCTCCCGCACCACCGCACCACTGCACAGACAGAAGCAGCATGCTCCTCCAGCCCAGCAGCTGTGGGGGTGCCCCCGCCCCCCAAGGAGGAGACTGGGACTCCTCCTTAAATGGCTGCGGGGACGCACCACTCAGCCACACACACACAAGCTCTGGAGGCCGCCCTGCCACCTCTGTCAGCCTATCTCCCTTGCTGAATCTCCTCCTAGCTCCACGGACCACAGGCCCACCCAGTGCTATTAGTGGCCTCAAGGACAGGGGGTGGGTGAATAGGAGGGCCACCAGGAAGCCTTCCTACCCCTACTCCCCATTCCCACATTCCTACCATGATCTCCTGTGCCTGGCACAGCCCAGTCAGATCTGGCCGCCAACGAGTTCCCCGCCCCTGCCCTCCACTCCCTTCCTCAGTGCCCGCCCCCGACTCACCACCACAGCCCTGCAGCCTCCTGGCCAGAGCCAGCCATGAAGCCCAGACCAGAGGCAAGGGAGCCGCATGCCGGGCCTAGGACCCCCCTACCCAAGGCCCTGGGGACCGACGTGGCGGGACCTGCCCTCAAAGAGGTTTGCCGGCACCTAGAGGCCAAAGCATCTACTGCTACCACTTCCCAGGGCTCCTTCCACAGCATCCCAGGAGGGAGGGGTTGCTGGAGAAGCAAATGAAGGGGGCCCATGAGCCCCAGAGATGAACGGTTTGAGGTTATCTCTAGATTTCAATTGTTTAAGCCCCCCCTTTATTCCCTCCAGCAGAGAAAATTAAGAATTGGAAGTAAAATCATGCATCCAATCCCCCAACAGGTCATGATACAGAGGACAAGGGTGGGGAGACTATTATTACTGGTGGCATTATATTCTGTCACCAATAATAATCACTATATTATAATACCATAGTCAGACGGTATCATAATAGTCTGATGAGTCACAATATGGATGTCACACAACATTCTATAAGCCGCATGGGCTATAGAATATGAGGAGTCAGGTACTATGGGGCATTATATACTAACATGACATGTACTCCTATAACAGGTGGCACTGCCCAAAGTAAAACCAAAGGGAGGGGATGATCCTATACCCAGATCTGGCTCATGGCAAGATCTCCCTCCCCCAGTCCCTGGGAGAAAGCAGAGGAGCCAGGTCAGCTCCAGTATTCAAGACAAAGGAGCGCTATCTGGTCATGGTGACGTAAGGTGTGGGGAGTCACATGAACAGAGGGGGCCAGTCCCCCACTTACATGTTGCTCTCTCTATATATATCTATCTCCATCTAGCACTGGACTCGTCTCCTCCTCGTTCTCTGAAGAACAGGGAACAAAGAGAGGAGTTGGGTTATGGACTGACTCACATATTCCCTGCCCAGTCACCAGGTCACTCAGCTCACAGGAACTGGTCCCGTTTTGCATAGCCTTTGCCTTTGGAAATATTGCAGACGGACGCCCAGGGTTTCCCACTGAGGCCAGGCCCCTCCCCCTCTCCCTGTGCCACGAGGCTGGAAGTCAGCTGTATTCCACCCACCCCGAGGAGAGGCAAGCTCTAAGAACAAGGACCCAGGAAGCTTGCTGGGCCTTGCTGGGCAACTGGCTTTAAAAGGCACCTGGGAGACAAGGAGAGGGTGGGAGGTTCCCTGAAACCCGGGCTATGACTAGTTTGTGGTGTGAGGGGTACAAGGGTGCTTTTCCACAAGGCCCTTCACCGACATCAGCCCGGGGCGGCGGGGGGGTGGGGGGGCTGGGGCTGGGCAGCTGGGTCAGATGGGCCGGGGCTCAGGGTCACAGCCATCACTCCTCTGCAGAGGGGTGCACATACTGGGAGGGAGCTGGCCCTGGCAGGGCTCTCCCTCGAAGCTTCATGCTGCGCGGTGCTCCCTAGATCACAGCCAGCCGCCCCCCTCTTGCGACACTGTCCCCACCACCACTCGGGCAAGGTACAGCCCCAGCTGCTGCGCTGGGAGCCCAGCTCCTCACTGACCTGACTCTCGGCCTGGGGTGCCCCGGGCTCCCTGTCTGAGCCGCTCGCCTCAGGTCCAGGGCCCTCCAGGAAGTTGGATGGAACCAAGCCCCTCTGTCCATTGAGCTCCCCCTGGGGAGGAGACGCTGATGAGGCTGAGACTAGCAAAGAGGCCTCAGCCCCAGCCCCTCAGCCCTGGAGCCCCTGGGGGGAACAGCCAGAGGTCAACATCCCTGCCACAACCTGGTCCATGTCAAAGTGCCTGGTCCATTCCTCCAGGCTTCCTTCAGGAACCCTTGCTCACCCCCGTCCCTGGCTCTGGTAGAGCCCTCCCTGAAAGGGCTGGTGAGGGGGGCAGAGCACACCCCCACCCCAATGTTCTCACATAGTAGAAACCATCATCGTCCATGTCACCGAACACAGTAATGATGTCGCCTGCCCGGAAGGGCAGCTCTGCCTGTGGAGAGCCCAAGAGGCAGACGTCAGCCCTGGGGAGGCCCTGCCACCACCCCCTTGGCTGGGCTCTCTATGGAGGTCTCACCTCCACGTCCATGTTGGGGGAGCTCTCCTGAGGGTTGTAGTCAAATGCAGCCACCATGGAACGGGGAGACTTCAGGCCGGCAGAGGAGACCTGCTGGGGGCGGCCTGCAGGGGAAGTGGGAGAGGACTGGGGACTCTCTGGAGCCCCCACGCCATACCATCCTCCACACTGCTGACCCCCTATTCGCCACCTGTCCACTAGCTGCAGCCTCTGGGGAGAACCCAGAGGGGCCACCCAGCCCCACCTCTTTCCCATCCTCCCCTGCACAGGAATGGCCCCTCACCTGCACAAGGGCGGGCAGAGCCTTCCACTTCAGCTGTGGAGAGAATGTGCAGGTGAGCCCCGCCCCTCACTTCCCTCCTCATCCTGGGCTGGGGGTGGGGCAGGGCAGGCAGGATGCTCGGTCTCACGCAAGGGATGCAGGAGAAAGATGTTCAGAGAGCAGAGCCCAGCCCTTCGGATGTGGTGGTAAACTAAGACCCAGAAAAGGTAAATGACTTGCTCCAGGCTGCACAGAATTTACAGCCAGGTGCTTTTTGGAGCAGAGGCCCCAGCAAACCACTCCCCGTCCCCATTAAAAGGACGCTCCCCAGTGGAGGCAATGGATGTGGCTGAAGGTCTGCCCTAATCCCCTTTACCTGCTCAAAACCCCACTCGTGTCTCCCCAGAGAGCCAAGCAGTGCTCCCCACCCCCACTCATCCTCACAGGCCCCAAGGGAGAAGGGGGGGTCTCACCCACCTTTCTTGGAGCGGCGGGGCTTGGGGGGAGGCCCAGCAGTGCGGGCTGTAGAGTACACAAAGGGACCATTCCCTGATCCAGAAAGGCAAGTATATGTAAGAGAGAAACTGAGGCAGGGGAGGGGGTCAGAATAGTGACTCTGGATCTCCTCTTTGGACTGTGCCAGGATTCTTGTGCTCAAGTTTCTAAAGGGCTTTCCTCTCCCATCCTTGACCTCCAGGATCCAAACTTCATGGCCCAGCCCCTCTGCAGCAGACCCCCATTCCACGTGGCAAGCTAACTGCTGTGACCACACTGGCCTTAGTCTCTGCAAGGCTGCAGGCTCTGCTGGACTCTGGAAAAATGATGCTCCCTGGCCACCCCGGATATACAGATTGCTCAGGAGGGGCTGAGTTGGAGCTGGGGTGGTGGGAGGTGGGTAAGGGACAGCAGTCGGACATACCTAAGCCTTCGGTGAGAACATCTGGGGACAAATAACCCTGCCGGAGCAGCTGCTGTCTCTCTATGGGACTGTCCACAGCCACCTCGGCCACCATGTTGCAGGGGACGTAGCCTATCCTCCCGCCCCCTTCACCGCGGTAGAAGCCATCGGCATCCTTGTCCCCAAACACCTGAAGGCAAAGATCAGTCATCTCAAGAGGCCAGTACAACTTGCTGCCTGGCTCCCAGGCCCTGAGCCCCACAGCACCACACTCAGAAATGCAGAAGAATGTGCTACCTTCTGTGGGTCATGAAACAGTAAATAGGGAGAAACAGCCAAGAATAAGGATCAGAGGGATGAGAGAAGATAACCCTTTTCATATATATTCACTCACTGCCGGCACATCCACCCCCCAGACCCTCCCGGCCAGCCCAGACTATATCTCTGTAATCTCTGAGCAACTGCAAAAAGCCTTGAATAAATACTCGGAGACTCCGTAAAAACTGTAATGTTAACAGTAGCTGTTATTATACTGTGCTGTATGCCGGGCCATTGAAGTATGCCACGTGCCCTGACCTGCTCTGTGAGGTAGACATGAACATCAGCCCATTTTACCAATGAGGAAACTGAGGTCCAGAGCAGCTAGTGCACCCACTCAAGGTTACACAGGTACAAGTGGCTAAGTCAGGACTCAGCTCCACGTCCTCTGGCTCTGGAAGCTATGGACTCTCCCCTCCCCCGCCACGCAGGCTGGACACCCCCAGTACAGGAGAGGGGAAAGGGTGGGGGACCCGGACAGTCAGTCAGTCACCTTCAGGATCTGGCCTTCCCGGAAGGGGAGCTCCTCTTCCCCAGCATCAGGGTTGGGTGACATTGACACCGGGTCATAGTCAAACAGAGCCACAAAGACCCTGACAGGTAGGTCCTGGTAAACCAGCGCCTCTTCTGGGGGGCTCCTCAGAGAGGCTGTGGAGACAGCGATGACAGTAAGCTCTTGCCAAAGGGTTAGGTTAGGAAAAGCCCCTTCGGCCTAGCCCAGCCCCCCTCAGGTGCTCACCCAGCTCAGTGCCGCCTGCCCTGGGGGCCTGGGCCCCTCTCCGCGGGGGGCCCCTCCTCCCAGAGCTGTCCTGCCCTCTGGGCTCCCCAGTCTCTGTGGCCTGCAAAGAAAGGGCAGCAGAGAGCAGAAGTGACCCACCATCCGCTGGTGGGCGAGTAAGCAGGGCAGGACCCCGCACGCGCTCCCCAGCTCTGCCCCATCAGCATAAGCAGCACAGCAGAGCCGGGACACAACATTCCTTTCCTGGAGCCTTGGCCCAATCTCTTGGAGACATCAGACACCCCCACGGCGGGGAGGAAGGGCAGAAGGGGAGACCCCGGCTCCGGCCACCCTCGTTGGTGAGTGCAGTAGAGGGGAGGGTCTCAGTGCTGGCTGAGGAGGAGCGTGGGAGAGGAGGGCCTCTTCTTGGCATCAGGGTCAGGTGATGCTGGACATCACCGTCAGTGTCCCGAAGACGTAACTAGCTAAGCAGAAGGCCACCCTGTGCAAAGGCAGGGGCTGGCTGGCGGCAACTGGCGGCTAGCGATAACAGAATATTGTGCATCCCAGTTCCGAAGGCAGAAGCAGCAAAGCAGTGGAATGTGGGTGGGAGGAGGCGGGTGAGGAAGCCCAGAGGCCCAGCCCCACCTCTGTGGATGGAGGCGGCAGCGTGGAATGGCAGTGGCTGGTGGGCAGCAAGCAGAGCCACCAGGCGGCAGCAGGCAGGGGGCTGCCAGGGTGGGGAGTGGGCACGGACCCGGGAGGGTGGCTCCTTGGCTCTGCCAGTCGCACTGCGGCCTCTCCGCTCTGGCTCCCCCTTCTCCCAGGCCGAAAGGCGTGGGTAGGGGTTGGGGCCTGAATTGGCCTTCAGAGGCCCCCTGGACCTTCCTATGGGGGCCATGCCCCAGGCCTCCCCATCTCCGAGGTAGCAGGAGCTGGTGATGCTGATGCCCCCGCCGCCCGCCTCCTGCTCGTCCTCAGAATCATATTCGATGCTGATCTCCAAGCACTTGGGGGAGAGGCAGCTGGCCAGGCTAGATTCTGGGGCCCGGCCACGGGAGCATCTCCGGGAAGGGGCCGGCCGCCCTCTCCCACCAGCCTCTGGCACACCCTTGGTCCCCTCGCCCACAGAGGGGCTGCCCCTTTCCCGTGTGGGGCCCGGTCGTCCAGAGGCCTGGGGCCCGCCGTTGCTGAGAAGTCGGCTGCAGTGTTCACGGGGATCTGGGGACCGCCTGCGGTTTGGGGGCTTCTCAGGGGAGCCACTTCCTTTCCTCCGGCTGTTTCCACCAACTAGTCCAGGTATGTCCTCCAGGCGGTCCCCAGCCCTGCAGGGCTCTGGGGACAAGGGACACGGGCCAGGCCCTCGAGGCTGACCGCTGTCAGAGCCCAGCCCCAGCAGTGCAGACTCGGGTGGGCCGGGGTCTCGGGAGGAACAGCCTGCCCCTGGCCTCTCCTCGTCTTCCTCCTCCTCTCCCTCATCTTCCTCATCCTCCTCTTCCTCCTCCTCGGGGATGCTAAAAAGCTTCTTGCTGCAGAACTGCTGGAGGGGCAGCTCCAGGAGCTGCTCCAAGATCTCCTCGTCGCTGTCGGTCTCACAGAAGGGGTCAGGCTGGGGCTGGGGGGAAGGGCAGTGGGGAAGAGAGGTCCGTGGGAAGAGGAGACAGCTGTGACCATTGTCCTCAAATGAGGGGAGGGGTTCCACGCAATCCCACAGCCCTCCCTCAGCTTCCTACAAGAGGAAAGACCAGAGAGGGGGCTGGCCCAAAGTCACACAGCAAGTCCAGAGCACAGCCAGAGGAGGAGTTAGGGAACACACCCTGGGAACAGGCTGCACGGACGCTGGGGCCCAAGGGACAGGAGCAGCAGAGAGCAGACCACACCTCCCCCCCCTCCACAGAGGCTCCCAGCAGGGGCCTCAGGCCAGGGCGCTGCCTGCAGCAGGCTGGAGCAGGAGAAGGGACAGAAGAGGGCCGCTCATCTTCTCCTTTCCTCCCAGGAAGGCAGACTCCTGAGCGACCTCCTATCTACTGCTCAGGACAGGGCCCAGGCCACACACCTAGGATGTTGCTGGCACTCCGTGGTGGCCGGAGCAGCTGCTGACACGAAGGATAGAGGCCCCCGGAACCTGAGGTCTAGGGCCCGCCAGCCCGTCCTCGCCCCGTTACCTTGGCCCCATTCTCCCTGATGCTGTTGCCAATAACCTGCTTCTGGAAAGAGCAAGTCCTGGAACCCAGATCCTCTTCCTCCTCCTCCTCCTCCTCCTCTTCTTGGATGTCTGAGAGATCCGAATTGTGGCCATGGTCCGCAAGGGAGCTCACCAGGTGGGCCCCGAGCTCTGCTGTGTCCTCCCTCTACGAGAGGTGAGGCAAAGGAAGGGAGAGGGAAGGGTCTGAGGAGGCACAGGGGGCTCCGGAAGGGTCAGCCCTAGCTGGAATGACAGGGGTCCCTTGGCAGAGGGAGAGAGTCATGTCCCAAATGGGGGGTGTGCTCAAGGGCGAGGACTGAGGGAAGAGGGGTAGTAGCCAAAAGGGAAAGAGAAAGCTGGGAAGACAGGTGACAAAGAAGCAGACGTGGGGCGCACACCAGAGTGGAAAATAAAGGGAGAGGACACCCAGGTTTGGGCGGGCAGAGGCAGGGAGGCAGGCCCTCGTTGTCTGAGGCGGCTCCGTACCTCAGCCCTGGGCCTCAGCCCAGACCCGGCGTCTCCTCCGCGGCCGGCCTCAGCACAGGGTCCTCGCGGGGCGAGTGCTCCCTGGCCGGGGCAGGGTGCCAGGAGGGCCTCTTCCTGGGCCAGAGGCGAAGCCGCGGGGCCGGGAGCTCTGTCTCCCGCAGCCGGCTCGCTGGCCCTCCCGTCCTCTGAGGTGCCCGGCACAGCTGCCCCGGCCTCCTCCTGGAATGGTGGGTGCTGAGGAAGGGTCCAAGCCCTGGGCCTTTGTCCCAGCCTCCACCTGTTCCCCCTCTCCCCAGCAGGGTACCTGGGAGCAAGCTGCTGGGGGCTCCTGGGGGGCTCCTCTCGCTGCATCTCTGGGAGGGCTTGCCGGGGGGGCCCCGGGGGCCTCTTGAGTTCCGTGCGGGTCAGGGCGCCGGAGGGGGGAGCTGGGGTCTCCAGGCCCCGGGGAGGCTGGAGCAAGAGGTGTTCTGGCTTCGGAGCCTGGCCGTGGTGAGGGGCAAGAGACCGTGGCTGGTAGGCAGGCTGCCACTAGGGCTGGGGGGACAGGAGCCGGAATGGAGTCGGCTGACTCGCCATGGGGCGACATGGTGCGCACAGCCACCTCACGGCACACTTGCATCAGCTGCAGCTGGGACAGCTCCACCAGCACACTGCCTGCTGTGGGCGACGCCACCTCCATGATCTGCGGGCAGAAGGTAGAGGCGGAGATGGCCGAGTGCGAGGACACGGTGGTGGTTAGCAGTGGCGGTTAGCATTATGCCAGGCAGGGCGCTAACGCCTTGGCATGCCTCATCTCACTTAATCCTCCCGGCCACAGGGCTGCAGCGGTGGCATGCTGTTTGAAGCACAGTCCTCCGCTCTCAAAGCCCATGCCCTCAACCGATCTGCCTGCTACACGATGCCCAAATGCCAGCGGCTGGGCATCTCTGTGCCAAGCTGGGGAGATGAGGTCTCTGAGCATGGCAAGGAGACACCCATACCCTATTCCCAGGGTACAGGTAGGCAGAGTCCCCAGGCCCTACCTTTTGCCCATCGGCATAGATGGCATAGCCCGTGACCCGGACGCCATTGGAGGTGCCAGCAGCATCAATTGTTACTGGGAGCCAGCTGATGATCAGGATTCCAGGGGAGGGTCCCGGCTCAATCTGCACATCCAGGGGGGCATCGGGTGGGCCTGAGGGGAGGAGGGCACCAGACCCAGGAATGCAGGACACTCACCTCCAGAGATACCAGCCTCATTTGCCATTTCCCCGAAAATGCATGTCCCCCGGCCTGGTCTCCCGAGTATTACAGAGCATCAAAGCCCAAGCGAGGCTGCATACCTGCTGGGAGTGTGGTGAACTGCAGGGTGGCAGCCCGCTGCTCCGGCCTCTCCCAGCCTGGTTCCCAGGACTCTCGAGGTGGGAGCTGAGCCTCCACTCGGGCCTGATAGAGAGTACCAGGCCGCAGGTGGCAGAAGGTGGCCCAGTAGGTGCTGGGGCGGGCAGGGGGGCACTCTTCCCCATTGAGGTAGACGGCATGGGCCAAGTTGCTATTGCCGGGCACCCAGGTGATCTCAGCAGACGTGGCTGTCAGTCGATGGACCCGCAGCTGGCTAGGTACCACCCCAGCCCGGGTACCCACCACCAAGCAACAGCGCAGAGGGTCCGAGCTGCCCTGGCTGGTCAGGGCCTGCACAGAAACACGGAGGGGCCCGGCCCGCAGGTCCAGGTTCTCGAGCACAGCCTTGGGGGGCACCCCCGGCCCCAGGGCCTGGCGCAGCTCCCCGTTCACGCAGATATGGTAGCCGCGTAGCTCCACTCGCTCAGGAGGCGGCTCCCAGGCCAGCACCACACTGTGGGCCAGCTGCCTGAGGACCACCAGACCCCGTGGGTAAGGCACAGCAGGGGGCCCGCCCAGGCCCTCGGGCTGGGGGCTCGGGCTGAGCTCTTCCCCCGCAGCCTCGTCCTCAGGTCTGGGCTGGCTGCGTCCCCCGCTGCTCTGGCCCCCGCTACTGCTGCCACCCCCACCTGCACTCAGGAAACTGAGTTCGGGGCCTGAGCTGTGGGACAAATCGGCCAGCTCCGGAGGGAGGGAGGTCAGGAGGTCATCGTCGGACACACGCTCTACAAAATTGGAAGGGACCAGGCCCCTTCGGCCATCCATGAGCTCCCCTGGCAGAGGGAGGGCAGGGAAGGGGAAGACAGAGAGGAGGCAGAGAAAAACCAGTCCAATAAATGCATTTTAGCAACGGTTAGCTGGTGATCTTAAGCATTTGATCCAAATCAACATTTACCTGCGAGCACTTTTAAAAGGCAAGAACGCACAACATCTGCAGTAGGGGAGTCATTGCTAATATTCGTAGGTGTAATAACAGCACCACGGTGATATAGGACAGCGCTTCTTAAATGTTAGTGTGCATATGAATCGCCTGGAGATTTGTTAAAATGCAAGTTCTAATTTAGTTAGGTCTGGGTGGGGCTGCGAGTCTGCATTTCTAACAGGCTCCCAGGTGCCAGCGCCACCAGGCTCTCCGAGAACCACGTTCTGAGATGCGTGCTGAAAGGGGGCTAGGCGAAATGTCATGATGTCTACAACTTGCTTTTACATCACTTTTCATTTTTAACCTACAGATGGAAAAAGCAAATATGGAGGAATGTTAACAACTGTTGAATGTAGGTGGTGAGTATATAGGTGTCCACTGTATTACTCTTTCATTTTACTGTATGTTTGAAAACTTTCATACTCCGAGGGCATGAGTAGTCGGGCCAGGGGCACCCTTGAACTTCCCTCTGTGGAAAACAGACATCCTCAAAGGGAGAGGAAAGCACCACCTGATCAGGGGAAGGGAAGGAATCTTTAGCAACAAAAGGCGTGAGTGCCGGAGAAAAGATTCCCGTGTGGGTTCTAGAAGGGATGAGGACCCCCAGCGAGCCTGGGCCCAGGAACATGACTGGTAGTCAGTCCAGGCAGTGTCCAAAGGTAAGCTCCAGTTCTCTTGAACACCTGACAATAGAGGGATGTCAAGGAAGGAAGAAATTGGGGACCCAGCATGCCATGTCCCAGCTAATTTGGGGGAAGGGAACGGATTCCCGGAGAACAGCTGAGCCCGTGGCTGCTGTGCTTCATTAGGAGGAAGGGGAAGCAGAGTCCAGGGTTTAGGAAAGAGGGTGCTGAAAAGGAAGACAAGTCTGAGCTGCGGGGGGGGGGCCTCCCAGTTTCCCCAACACCCTCACTCTCTACTGCTTCTAGGAGAGGGGAAAAGCACAGAAACTTGGAGAAACAATAGTGATTTTCAGTACATTTGAGACAATAAGCCCTGTAGTGGATCAAACGGTCACCTCTCAAAAGTCTGTCCACATCCTAATCCCCGGATCCTGTGAATGTGGCCTTATTTGGAAAAAGTATCTTTGCAGATGTAATGAAGTTAAGGGGCTTGAGATGAGATCATTCCAGATGATCTAGATGGGTCCTAAACCAAATGACAAGTGTTCTTAAAAGAGTCACATAGGGAGAGACACTGAGATAGGAGGAGGAGGCGGCAATGTAACTATGGAGGCAGAGACGGGAGTGACGTGGTCACAGGCCAAGAAACACCTGGAGCCACCAGAAGCTGAAAGGGACAGGAAACAGAATCTCCCCTTCGGCCTCCAGAGGGAGTGTGGCCCTGCCGACACCTTGATTTCAAACTTCTGGCCTCCAGGAGGTGTTAGAGAATACATTTCTGTCGGTAATTTATTACGGGAGCCCGAGAATATTAACATCAGCACTAACACTGAGGAATGTGACATTAAAGGTAGGAGCCTCTGCACTAAGCATCTCTATCACCCTGAAAGGCTGGCGCTGGAGCCCTAGCCAGAGTCAGGCACACGTTTCCGAAGCTTGAACCATCGACAGCAGTCCAGGCAGGAGCAGACGTAGAGGAAGCAGTCACTTAGCTAAATGTGACGAGGAACACAGCATCCCAGGCCCGTTGTCTCCACGCCTTTAGATCTACCCCAGATCGTATAGTTCAAATTCTAATAATTTCTGCTTAGTGAATATTTGTGTTCTTGCTGCCCCCCTCCAAGGAAAGTGGTTGGTTCCTAGGTTTTTGTTTTCATTTAGAAAGTCGTTTTCTGGGAAATATTTAATCCCACTTTCCTTACCCCTCCCTCTGGGGAGCTAAGCTGTTCACCATTGTTCACAGCAGTTACTCAAAGAACAGGTGCAGGGCCCGGGGTGGGCTCTGAAGACCTGGCCTTACAAACCCGAAGCTTTGGGAGTTACAGATTCAGATCTAACCTCTTTCCTACACCCCCACCCCAGTTCATGGCCCTCACCCTGCCCTGCCTACACTGCAACCCAGTCTTGGCACGGGCCTGTTCTCCCTGCTGTTTGGCCAGGGCCAACCTGAGGAGTCCCCAGAGACCATTTCTTCGGCAGGCCCAGCCCTGTCGCCCAGTCTCAGTAACGGGCTTCTGCTCAGGTGCCTAGGGCCCCCACAGACCCTCTAGCACTGCCCTGAAGCCCATGCCCTGCCTGGGCCCTGACACCTCCTGACTATTCACTGACACCCTCTCCTGGCCTCTGCACCCTGGTTCCCCCTGCCCCACACCCAGCTGGCATCCAGCTTCAGATCCGTGCTACATGCCCAACTTCGAGGTCACTAGTGTTAAGCACTGCCGTGCCCTGTCTGGAAGCACAAAAGCGGATTCAGCCAAATTCCCTGTGACCCCATTCATCACCTGGACTGTCGTAGGCCCTGCCCTGCCCTGCCCTGCTCCGGGCAGATCTGCAGTCAGACCAGCGGCCCCTTTCCTGGGCCCTTTCTGCGTGGGCTGCCAGGTCACTATATGGCTGAGCAGGCCAGGGAGATGGTAGGGGATGGAAGGGGTGGGTGGAGGTCTCTGGGAAGAGGGACTCAAAAGCAGGGGGATGGACAGAATAACTCTGCCACCTTCCTACCTTCAAAAAAGCCATCCTCGTCCATGTTGCCATAGATGTAGATGTACTCGCCAGCGGTGAGTGGGAGCTCCGCCTCTGGGTTCTCATTGGGGCCCTCGAAGGGGTTGTAGCTGTTGAAGGAGGCGCGGAGAGGGAGGATGACAGTGACCCACACCCTACCCCCACATCCCGTCTCCTCCCTCCCACTGTACTAGGCCTTTATGGAGACTTGGGTGTCCACCGGTAGCCAAGTAAGCACTCACTGTGCCCACCTGGCTCAACTGGGCAAAGGGGACATGTCCATCGGGGATCCCTGAGCCACCCCTGCCACCTCCAGAGGCCTCTCTCTTCACCAGCCCCTTCCTCCCATACACCCCAAATGCTAGGGAAATGAGTGGGGAGCAGAGGGGAGGAGCCCACCTATAGCGCGCTAAGAACACCTGGATCCTGGCTCCTCCCCGGCTGCCGTCCGGTGCTGCCGGGAGCAGGGAGACACTGTCTGCCTCCAGCTCTTCCACCTCGCTGGCTGTGTCCACCTGCAGGCAAACAGAAAGGGCCAGTCCTCTCCAGGCCCCAGGGCCAGTGGCAAAGCAGGCAGGTTTCCAGGATGAGCCAGAGGACCTACGGCTCTGAGAAGGGAAAGAGCACGGGCTGGACAACGCCAGCAGCAATGAGCCTCCGTGTTTTCTAAAGTCAGCACCCAGGCCAGCAGGTCCTGGCAGAGCCCAGCTGCCCTGGCAAAGCCGAGTGAGAATAACCTTGATCCCTCCTGAGCCCTGGCCTCTATTGTACCGTCCCAGTAAATAAGACCACTTTCCCCACTGATAGCAACCACTCCGGTGTGCAGGGGGTGTCCAATGGCAGTTTGTCTCCTTAAGGGAAAAACATGGCAAAGCACTCTGACTGTGAAGAGCCAGAAGCCAGGAGGCAGAAGGTCCTGAGATGCCCCTGTAAGGAGGGCACGGTGGGGGAGGAGTGTGTGGGAGGAGACAGCACAGCCCCTCAACGGCACAGCCAAAGCCCACACCGTTTCATCCCACAAGGGGGCAGTAGAGGCCGGGCTGGGTTCCCCTGCTTTTCACAACCCCGGAGCCCCAGGGCTGCTCTGGCCCTGCCCCCTCAGATTTTTTTTTTTTTTCCTGAGAGAGAGAGAGACAGAGACAGCGAGAGCAGGGGAGGGTCAGAGAGAGGGAGATACAGAATCTGAAGCAGGATCCAGGCTCTGAGCTGGCTGTCAGCACAGGGCCTGAGGTGGGGCTCGAACCCACGAACTGTGAGATCATGACCTGAGCCGAAGTCGGACACTTAACCAACTGAGCCACCCAGGTGCCCCTGCCCCCTTGGATTTCTGAGGTTTAGGAAGAAGTAGAGAGAGGGACAAGGTGATCGAGCAGTTGGTAATAATAAGAGCGGCCACATGTTAAGCATCTACTGTGTGCCCTGCGGTAGCGCTCTTCCTTTTACCTTTTCATGTAACCCTCATGACAACATTACAAGGTGGATTTTATTAATTCCAAAACCCAGATGAGGAAACCAGAAAGAATCAGAGACTCGCCTAAGACAGAGCTGGGATCTGAATCCCCGAACCCGTGTTCTTTCCCACACTACCACCTGCTTCTGCTACACTCACATGAACAGTCTCATTATACGGATCCTGGCGCCGAAGTGTCTCCCTCCATCAGGCTCAGGACTCCAGGGCCTCTGTGAGCCCCAGAGGGGCGGGGCTGGGCGGCCCCAGAGTAAGGCCTGCAGGTGAGCCCTGGAGAGCAGGGCGGCCTCCACCAGAGCTCCTAGCCCATAAAGAGGGATCCGCAGGCCCTTCTCTCCTAGGGCCTGGCTCCACTTTGCAACTTGGGACCCCACACAGCCCGGCAGCCACCCAACCCCTGGGAACCACAGAGGAGGATAGGGCCACCCCCTATCCCCGGGCCCCTCCCCAGCACTGACCTCAGGTGTGGGGCATGACTTGGGGCTGTTGTGGATGGATTCAGAGCGAGAGGAGTTGGAGAGGGACTCTGCCTTCTTGGCCGTCCTTCGAGGGACCCCGACAACAGTTGCAGGGGCAGGCTCAGAAGACTTTGGGGTGCAGCGCCCAGGGGAGCCCGGAGGGAGGTCAAGGTCTAAAGAGAAGATGGCACATGAGGTCTGTGACCTGAGGAAAGACTAGGGAGCAAGGAGGGCTGCTTGGATATGGGGGTCAGGACTTCCATAGCCACGTCTCCTTACAGGAGGGAAATATTTGAGAAGAACTTACTAAGTAGAGGTGGAAGTGATTTACATATATTATTTCACATGATCCTCAGAGCAGGCCGCTGAAGTGCACTGAATTATTTCCGTCTTACAGCTTAGGAAACCAGAGCTCAGAGAGGTTTAGCAGCATACTCAAAATCACATGGGCTGTTAAGTGAGAGGGGCTGGGGACCCCAGATCTGACTGATGCCCAACCCAGCTCTTTACAAGCCCTTACTGCCGGCTGCTGATTCCTAGTGCCCAACTCCCAGCTGTGACCACAGAGGTCTTGCTGGAGGAGAGGGCAGTGGCTGCGATGTTTGGCCAGACTCCAGGAGAGCCACTCCTGTGAGCTCATTTCTCCCCCATCAACTTGCTGTGTGACTTTGGGTGAGTTGCGAGCTTTCTCTGACCCTGAACTCTCTGCTCTATACAAAAGCATTCCAGACAAATGTCACTGGGGTCCACTTACCTTTGGGGCCAGAGCCACGGCAGGGCTGGGGGGTAGAGCAGCAGCAGGGGGGTGGTGGGTGGTCCCCAAGGGTACTGTAGCCCAGGGCGGATGTGAGTAGGTCCAAGGGGCCAGGGTGCAGGCGGAAGGCCTGGAGCTCCTGTGCCAGGAGGCTGAAGCGCTCTGTTTGGCTGCGGCACTGTTCCTCCAGCTCTCGAACCCGGACCTGGGCCAAGACCTCCCATAAGCCACCAGGCCCAGCAAAGCTGCCCAGTCCCATCCGGAGCCCCCACACCAGGCCTCAGCTTCCACCTGCCCAGCCCTAGCCCCGGGCACCAGCCCTCACCTGGCTGCCCACTGCCTTAACAGCGTCTGAGTGGGGTGTGAAGCACCAGGGCTGTGGGCGGCCTTCACTCCCAAGCCTCCCTGGGAAGGGCGAACCCCACCCCCCACACAGCACACCCTCACACCCCAGTCGGTGGCGCTCCCTCCTCCATGCTGCCTCTGGGAATGGCTCCCACTCCCAGCCCCACTGCCAGTATCTCCTTGGGAGTTTCTTTGGCTCTGCTGCTTGTCATGCTCTCAGTCAGTGACCCAAATCCCCACCTTCGCAGAGACCCTGCACAGGAGCTAGGGACATCTTTACAGCAGGAAGGAGCCAATTCTCAAGAAATTTTCTCAGGTATCAGAAAAGTCCTGGGGCACCTGGGTGGCTCCGTCAGTTAAGCGTCCAGCTTCAGCTCAGGTCATGACCTCGCGGTTCATGGGTTCGAGCCCCGCGTTGGGCTCTGTGCTGACAGCCAGCTCAGAGCCTAGAGCCTGTTTCAGATTCTGTTTCCCTCTCTCTCTGACCCTCCTCTGCTCACGCTGTCTCTGTCTCTGTCTCTGTCTCTCTCTCAGAAATAAATAAAACATTTTAAAAATTTAAAAAAAAGAAAAGAAAAGTCCCAACATTTGGGGCTCTCCCCTGGCCCATGATCAAGAGGATCATGGGTTAGACTCGTGAGGAACTTCCTCATGGTCCAAGTGGCTAGGTTTTAGATGAAGGTCAGCCCCACATCTGCCAGGCACTGTGGCAGCTCTGGGTGGAGGAGGTGGCCCCCATGTCCCGCAGGAGTCCCAGGCCTTCTACAGGTTCTCGGGTCCACTACCAGACACACCCTCCTCTGTTCCACATGAAAGCTGGGACCACCGGACCCTGAGGAAGAAGACCCAGCTCCGCCAGCCCGCACAGGCACATGGGAGAGGACAACCCAGTGAGGTGGGGGGTCAGGAGGCTGTACCTGCATGGAATCCAGGGTCGACTGTGGCAGGAAAGGAAAGCACAGAGGACAGGTTAGAACCCTTCACCCCGCGGGTCACTGCGCAGAGAGGGAGAGAGGGAGCAAGGGCCCAAGTGGACACTACCTGGTCGGCTCCCTGGACTGACTGAGCAGTTCCTAAATGGAAGGATATTTCAGGGTGAAGACAGCCCCTGGGGGTGGGGGCAGTGGGGGCTGCTGCCACCAGACCCAGGAGCCCCTGCCCAGCTGCACCCCTGCCTGAGAAGTAGGCCGACAGTGGAAGGGATTCCCTAGGCTCTGGAGCACTTAAGGGCCCTTCCTTAACCCCACACCCTCCCACCCCCATGCAGTCCATTACAGCTCTCTCTGAACTTCCCTGCCTTCCTCCCAAACTGGTGTTGCTGGCGGCCACTTCCAAGGACCCTACCTCCAGCAGCTGCACGGCCCCTTCATGTTCCCTCTTGGCTTCTGCCTGGGCCTGCAGGTAGGAGGAGGCAAAGGTTGGAGAGGAAAAGTGAGGAACAGGGGAGGGGAGGGGAGGAGATGGGTGGGGGGAGCAGCAAGGGCAAAGGGAGGGAAGAAAAGGAAAGGTGAGCTGGGAAGGGGGAGGCTGAGGTTCCTCACTCCCAGATTCCCACCCAGAGCCATACCTTAGGCCAGAGGGTAATAGCATCAAGGAGAGGCAGGTCTGATACTGTTTCTCTCTTTCTGGGACATCCACCCTCTGGGTTTCCCTCCTACCTCTTGGGATGCTCCTTCTCAGCCTCCTTCACCTGTGCCCTGTCGTTTGCCCCTTTTGAATGTTGGGATGCTGCAGGGCACAGGGCTGGGCACAGGGTACTTTACACTCTTCACTGTCTCCCAAGGGGGCCCATCTAGTCACAACTGGACCACTGATGACTCTGAAACCTAATTCCATGGCCAACTTCCCCATGACTCCAAAGCCGTAGATCCAACTGCCTATGGGAACGTCCACTTGTATATTTGACACATAACCCAAACTTAGCCAGAACAGGACTCAGGACTCAGGACTCCCTAACTCTCACAGCTGCTGCCCCTTCATCCATCACCTCCTAGAGGGTGAAGAGCCCGACACTCCATCAAGGTTTATGCAGCAAATGGCTACGAGAAGCAGGGGCTCAACCAGAATCCTATGGAGTTTTGCCACTTCTCTCTCCAAAATACTTCAGCTCCTTCCCCTTGGGTCCACCTGCATCACCTGCACCCTTGTCCAGATGGCCCTCCTCTCCCGCCTGAACCACAGCAGCCCTGACACCTGACCACCTGCCTCTTCACCCACACCCCCAACCCACCCTCCGCAGTGCTGCTCATGTGATCTTCTGAAATGATGAATCAGATCATGCTACTCCCCTGCTTGGGACCTTCCAACAGCTTCCAACCCCTCAGAGAACAAAATATCCATTCTTCTTTAAGGCCCCATGAGATCTGGCTCTTACCTATTCCTGCTGCTCTGTCTCACCTATTATAATCTAGCCAACTGGTCTGGACCCCCACACTCTATCCTGCCACAGGGCATTTGCACTTCAGTTCTACTTGGAGTGCTCTTCAGCTGGCTCCTTCTCACCCTTAACGTATTAGGCCTTCCCTGCCCCCCTCTCTAAAGTGGCCCCTGGCCCCACCCTGGTCACTCTGTCACATCACTTCCCCCCCCACACCTGGGCCCATCAGTGACAGGGGTCACCTCACTCATGTATCCACTTATTTGCTGATTGGCCTGGGCCCTGATCTTTCCCCACCACTGTCCCCCAGTGCCTCGCACAGAGCCTGGCACTCAGCGGGTGCTCAGTAAAAGCTCACTGGATGAGCACCTGACTGAGGGGTCCAGCAGCCTACCACCCCTCCCCCCCCGCTGCCCGCACCTGCTGCAGCCTCCGGACTTCCTCCTGCTTCTCCCGCAGGCTGAGCCGAGCCTGCTCATGCTCCACCTCGAGCTGCTGCCTCCGCTGGGCCACCTCCCGCATGTGCTGAAACACAAGACCTTGGGTCAAGGCCACAGCCCGGCTCCACCATCCCTGTAGATCTAAGATGTGGGAGCCTTGGACACCATGCGTTCCCTGTGTTATGAAGGAAACTGAAGTCTGAGAAAGGCAAGGCTGGTGGTGCCAGGACTGGGCCTCAGACCCCGGTGCCCCACATGGGGCACGTCCTCCTGCCTCCCTTTGTCCTCGCACCAGGGCCCAAGACCCTCCCCCCACCCATGCAATCTCCTCACCTTCAGCACCTGCTCCAGGCTCTCCAGCTTGCTCTGCAGGCCTTGGCTCTTGCGAAGGGCCGAGTCCCTCTCCTGCGTCACCCCCAGGAGCTGGCCCCTCAGCTCCGCATTCTCCCACTCCACCTGGAGGGGGGCGAGCAGCAGGCAGCTGGTGCGTGAGCCTTGTCCCAGCAGCTCCCTCACCGGGGAGGAATAGCACCCTTCATACTTTGGCCCAGTTCAGGGGGTGCAGCAGACAGCCCCTTGCCCAGGGACCAGGGCCCCGGCAGAAGCCCAGCCCCAAAGCACGTGCGCAGAACCGCTACCTGCTCTTTTTCCGTGGCTCTCCCACTGAGCCGAGAATTCTCCTCCACGAGGCGGGCATTCTCGTTCTGGGCTTCTCTCAGCTGCAGTTCCTGAGAAACCAGGGGAGCTCTGGGGTGGGGGGCCCACAAAGAGGATCCTGCCCTCCCTGACAAGGCCTCCCCCACCACAGACAGGACAGGAGGTGAAAGCAGAGCTGAGGGAGCCCACCACCCGGCTGGCCTCAGGAAAGCCCCTGGAGCTCACCAGCTCCTCACATCGCCTCTGCTTTTTCCGGGCTTCCTGCTCCAGGCTCTCGCATTTCTTTCGCTTCTTGCTGAGCTCTGACTCCTGTGGGGTCAGAAGCAAGGGCTCCTCACGTGGGGGAAGGCAGACCTGCCCACAACTGGTTGCCTCCAGCCCTTGACCTGGGACTTACCAGCTGCTGTACCCTCTGCTGTTTCTCTGGCTCCCCTAGGCCCCCGGGTGGGGTTTCCACATCCTCTTGGGGCCTGGCCTGAGAACGCAGGGGGCAGTGGGGAGGCTGGCACCTGAGAACAGGGCCTCTGGGCAGCCTGCCCCCCTGCCCAGCCTGTCTGTGCGTGTGCAGGCTCCCACCGCATCTCACAGTCAGCAAAGATCCCTGCCGGGGAATGGGGGTGGTGGGGAAGGGGGTGCCGCCTGCCCCGCCTCCGGCTGATGCGGGAGTGCAGAGGCTGTGCCCCTGTGTCCTCCAGACATACTGCTTTGAGATCCTGGGACCCATGTGTGCCGGGGGAGATGGGTCCCTTATCCAGGCCAAAGCTTTCCCTTTTTAGCTTCCAACAGCAGCCCTGCTCTGCACTCAATAACTGTCCTGGGTGTCCTTCAGTGACTGGCAGAGAACTAGGAGGCTGCTTGGGCACCCCCGCCCCGGGGACGGGGACACGGTGCTCCCAGGGCTAGGAATTCTGGATCATCCAAACCTGGGCTTTGCCTAGAGCAGTGCAAGCCTGGCCAGATCCTCCTCCTAGCTTCCCCCGAGCCCACCCAGCCTGTCGCACTTCAGATTTATCTGTGCAAACCCTCAGGGAGGACAGCTCTCCAAGGGAGCTGCATCTCCCTCCCGGGGCCAAGCAGAGGGGGGAAACCTGAGCAAGAAGCACCCCCCTCCCCCCGCACCCAGGCCTACGTCGCTATGGAATCCACCTTCTCCCAGCCCTGTTCCCAGAAGGAGGTGAACCTAGGTGCCGATCAAGTAGAGGATGGAGAGGAGCCAGACCTAGAAGTTCTGGGGGTCCGGAGTGTGGTCCCAAGCCCTAGCGACAGAGGCCGCCCACGCCCAGCACCCAGTGAGGGTCGCCCGTACCTGGAGCCGAGGCGGACGCACCGCCACCCCCGGGGAGCCGTGGCCGGGCCTGGAGGACCAGGCGGGCGCTGAAGGGGGCGTCCCCGCGCTACGGCGGCGGCGGCGGCGGCGGCGGGAGGCGGCGGCGCGGGCTGGGCCCCGGGCGGCTGCCAGGGCAACCGCGGATTTGCGGCCGGGCCATACCACTGGCGGCGCGGCAGGGGCGACGGGGCGGGCCTCGTGGGGCGCAGGCCTGCGAAGGGCGGCCCCCGAATCGCCCGGGTCCAGCTCAGCGCAGGTACGGGCGACCCTGCCGCCTGGGGTCGGGAACGCTCCCCAGCCCTTGGATGCGCACGCCACCACCGGGTCCTCGGGGCTCGGAGCGCTGTGCAGGGAGAGCTCCCAGAGCGTCCCCCAGCCCATCATGGACGCCCACACACCTGTCCCGGCGCCAGAGCTCACCTCTCCCGGGGCCCCGGGGGCGGGCGCCCCTGCTCTGGCCGGGGCGGCTGGGCCCGGGGGCCGGGGCGGCGGGGGCGGCTCCTGCTGGTTGCGCAGGGCGATCTGCCTCTGTAGCCGCAACACCTCCCGCTGGGACTCGCGCAGCAGCCGGTCGAAGTCCCTCACGTGGAGCCACTGGGGGCCCTCCTGGTTGGGGGACAGGGAGAGGAGTCAGGCCCAGCCCTTGCCCGCCCCACACCATCCCCAGCGGAGGCCGCGTTCCACGGTGCCGGGGCGGCCCCGAGGCGCGGGAACGTGCACATCCTCCCATGCATACATGCCTGGTCATGGGTGCACGCGTGCACAGCCACATGCTTCCGCGAGCCCGTGTGCAGACAGACACAGTAACTCATTTACTGGGCGCTCGCGGTGTGCCCGGCACTGTGCTAAAATGCCTTGTGAACATCGCTCCACGCAAGTGTGAGGGGTCATACAGCCAGACCCGCTGGCAAACGGCGTGAAGCCTGGAGCACAGAGATTCCCAGGTCTGGGACTCCTAGCTCCACCCCCTTCAGTTCGGGCTCCTTCTCCCCGCTCCCACCTGGGCCGTTGCCAGGGGAACCTACTCCCCAGCAGCTTCTACCTTCCCGCTTCATTTGCATCTCATCAACATCTCGTCCGCATCCCACAAGCCAGGCAGGTAGCCCTGCTGGAGGGCTGAACCGGAAGGGGTGACCAGGGCCTCCTCGCACCTTGCCAACCAGGGTGAGCCTGGCCTGCAGCTCCCTGCACTCCCGCTGCAAGGCAGCAATCTGCTTGTCCTTAGCCAGCAGGGCGCTGGCTGTCTCACTGAGGTCCCGGGCTCGCTGATGGGCCAGGGCCTTCCGGCACAACTCCAAGCTGGCCCCGGAACGGGGCACAGGGGCACTCACCTGGCCAGAGGAGGAGGAAGGCCATCGGTCATCTGAGGGCTGGGGCACTTCTCCCCCTCCTCAGCTCCTCCCAACGGAGGGATTAGGATGAAAACCTAGAAGTATGGCCTCCTGCTTCTACCCTCTATCTGGGGCACTAGGGGACCTAGACTAGCCCCACTCCACCCCATCCCAGCAGTCCTCAGACAGAGCTGGAAAGGTTAGCTCCACATCCTAGTTTAGGCCCAGAGGCTGCTGCTAATTGAGGGCTGCCACTGTCGTGGGTCTCCATCCCCGCCCCCACAGCCCTGCACCCAGAGATGAGCTCAGCGGGAGGCTGCAGCCAGCCCCAGCACGTGGCAATCCAGAAACCCGCTCCCTGCCTGTTCAGGAACTCCCCGCCCTCCCGTGGCCCCAGAAGCCTTTAGCCTCCTAGCCCAGCCACCATTTGCCCTTCCTACACCTTGGCCCCTGGATTCCTGCTTTCCTGGGTGCCAGGAGTCCTTGACTCCCGGGCCCCACCCCCTCAGGCCCAGCCTGGCTCCCTGGGCACCCAGCCTCCGCCCGGCAGCCTCCCATCCTCACCACCTTCAGGTTAGTCTCCTGCAGCTTCCGGGCCCTCTCCTCCAGACGCTTGGCGATGACCGCCAACTCGGCATTCTTCCGCTTCAGCCTCCGTACCTTCTCCTCTGTCTCAGGGAAGCTGCTCTTCCTCTGACAAGGGGTCAGCCAGAATCGGGCCATGCGGGGAGCGCCCGACAGACCCGAGCCTAACTGTCCCGGACTTGGACGAGAGCCCTGGGCTCACAGTGGAGTCCTTGGGAACTCTAAGAAGGGGTTCACCCTCTCTGCGTCTTGGGGTCATGTCACCCCACAGAGCCCACACTTGGAGGGATGCTTTATGGGATGAGGAAGGTGCGGAGGCAGAGGGCTAGGGTGTCTGAGCCTGCCTTCCCCCAGTCCCAGCCCAGACTGGGGACCCTCTTTTCAAGCCTCACCAGCATCTGATTTTCCTCCTTAAGGATGGCACAGCGCTGCCGCAGCTCCCCCAGGGCCCTCAGCAGCTCCAGATTGGGCCTGTCCCCAGAGCCCACGCCCAGCTTGCCCTGGCATGGGAAAGGACAGGACACGGCGCCTCAGGAACCTAGTCAAAGCCCTCCTTTGGAGGCATCCTGCCCCCCAACGGTCTAAGGAGACATGGAGACGAGAAGGTTCTCCCCCATGTCCTAGGCCTTCAGAGGGGTGCATAGGAGGCCCAGAAGGGGCCCCCGCTGGCCTCCCCCAGCCCTGAGACCCTCTCTGCTAGTCCCCAGTTCTTTCCATCTCTGCCCATCTATCCCTGGGAAATGCCGGCTCAAGCTCCCAGCCCCACCCCTCCAGGCCCCTTCTTTCCCCCAAAGCCCCGGTCCCTCCATCTTCTAGGGGAGGCTGCTCCCACCTACCCCAATCCTGTCCTCCCTGGCTCAGCCCAGCACTGAGCCCCCTCCCCTGAATCTGCTTCCTCTGGACTCTGATTCCACCATACACCCCCCACCACCCCACCACCCCCAGCATCGTCCAGCCCCCAAGGACGGAGACTCGCCGAGGAGGAGACACAGACAGACAGACTCTCAAAGAGAGACTCACGGAGGGAAGGGGCAGGGGCAGAGCCAGGGCCAGATGTAGACAGACAGGCAGAGAGTCAGAAGGATAGACATATGGCAAAAAATGGAGCCACTGACATTCCTGCCCAGAGAAGGGATGACACACAGTCACAGAGAAGGGCCCACGGACCGAGACAGGCCAGGAGAGGAGGGGTGGGCAGCGGGATTGCATACGTGCCCAAGCTGGAGGGCGTCAGTAGGCGCCCCGCCTGGTAGACCCCAGCCCTCCCCAGCTCCCTTACCTTAGGAAGAGCCTCCACCTCTTCGTCCTCCAGCCTCGGGCAGCTGGGTCTGGAGCTTGCTGCTTGGTGCCCCAGGCCGGGCAGCCCAGTTTTGGTTCCTTCAGGGTCAGTGCCGCCCATAGCCCCAGAGCTCTGGGCTCCCTCTGAGCTCTCCTCAGGCCTCAGCTCTCCAACCTGCCCGGCTGCCAGAGTATCAGCAATGCCTGGGGCTGCGCCTCCAGGTTCGCTCCCCTGCCCTGGAGTCCAGTTCTGCCAGGCGGGCAGGGCCCACGGCTCCATGGCTCTGGGGTCCCCCAGCTGTGGGAGAGGTGTCAGTTGCTCCATGATACTGCCAGGGGCCCCCAGGACCCGGGCCGGGGGACATCACCCAGCCAAGTGGAGGGGCTGGCGAGGGTCATGCCAGGCCAGACCCTTTCCTCTCTGAGCTCTTGGCTTCACCGAGGCTCCATCCACGGTTGGCTGCTCTTCCTCACCCACAAAGGAGGCTGCAGGAGTCAGAGCTGCCAGAGCTGAAGCTAGGGGTATGCAAGCTATGTTTGCTCGCGGCTGTGTGTGCGCGCGCGTATGTGGAGGAGCGAGGGTGTCCCCGTGGGGGCAGGGAGGATGTGCAGAGGCCACCAACAGCAGCGCCTGGCTGGGGGTTTGCGTGTGTCTCCAGGTCTGTCTGTTCGGGTCAGCGCTGTCTTGTGTGTGTGTTTGGAGGACAGGTGCCCCCACTCGTGGGGGGGGGGTAGTGGCTCCGTGTGTCACTGTCTGTGCCTGTTTCGGAGTTACCAGTTGTTTCTGTGTGTGTGGGGGGGTGTCTGTATTGCAGGGCTGTGGCAGGGCGTGATGCTGTCACTGGTTGTATCTGAGCAGCTCAGTGCTGTGTAGCTGTGTGCTTCGGTGTCATTGTATGTCCGTCAGCGTCTGCGAGTCTGGCTATCCATCATGACCCTCAGCCTGGCTAGGGTGTGCGGGAGCTGCTGGGGGTGATCCTCGACCGTCCGCTGTGGTCCTTTATCTCCCGTCCCTCTCTCTGCTGCCGCTCTCCTGCTTGCTGGGCGGTCGGCTGGTCCTAAGGAGGTCTGGGTCGGTGGGCTGCTTGCCTCATAGTCTCTGTCCCTGCTGGCCTCAGCTCTGGGGTCCCCGACAATCCCGGAGCCCCGAGATGGTGGGCGCCGAGGAGGGCTGAGCCTCAGAATGGGGGGGGATGAGCAGGGGAGAGCCAGCCTTCCCCTCCCCCTCCCCGTCTTCTCCCGCCCACCAATAGGAAGTCGGCTGCTGGTTTCCATGGTGATGGCGCTGGACTGGTGGGCTGGACCAGCGGCGGGGTCGGGACAGAGGGTAGAGCGGGCTCCTCACGGGATCCCAGCCCAGTACCCCGTACATGTGGCCTCCCACCCTTCTTCCCCACTCGCCCCTACGCCTTCCTTGTACTGAGGCGAGAGGACTGTGGATGGTCCTCCCCACATCGGTGCCGGCCCAAGACCAGTAGAGACAGAGACAGGAGGTGGTATGACAAATAGGCAGAGCCAGCCATGAAGAGGGGCAGGGACAGAAAAGATGGGATTTGAGAGGAAACAAAGAGAGAGAGAGAGAGAAATCAAAGGAATGAAAACAGGAAGATAGAAGCAGAGACGGTAGAAACTGACTGAGAATTGCTTCAGCTTCCTCCTGGCAGACTTCATTTTGGGGGCAATCTGGCCCTCTTGCGCCAGCAGAGGAGACAACATGGGCTGTTGGGCTGGCTTTGCCCCAAACGGCAAGGAAGTTCATCTTCTGTCTGGCCTTAGGCCTTTGTGCTATGGGAAAATGGCTTTTGGGGACAAGGACATGGGAACTCTCCTACCCACAAGTCAACTTGTATGTGGGGGCAGGGGCCTAGATGGGGTCCCCAGAGACAGGGGTGTTGCAAGGGGCCTCAGAGAGGAAGCTCCTGTCCCCTCTGAATCTGGGACTCAGTCCATCCTCACACAAGTCGGTCTCTGCTGAGATGGGGGGCCCTCGTGTGGCACCCTTGGGGAATAGCAGCAGCAGCACCGAACCACAGAGCCCCTGCGTGTGGGCTCCACCCAGGCCAGAGCTGATAGAACAGCCGGGGAGTTCATGGGGATGAGGTGACATCCTCACTTCCCGAAAGTAGTATGTAGATCAGTATGTGCACCACTACATGTATGTCGCCGATGTCTATGTCAGGGGACATATACATGCCATTATTTGCATGCATGTGTATAGAATAGGCATATATTTATGTCTGTATGTGTGGGAGGGGGCCATTGTATTAATTTATATGTGTACACAGAAACACGTATGTGTGTATGAGTCTCATTGGGTATATACGTATGCATGTTTCTACGTGCGTGCCATTGCATACATGTCTATCTGCATGCTATTATGTATATTTGGGATATGACTTCGAGTATAGAAATTACAGCACATATGTCACATGTATATGTGCATTATATGATATTATACAATATATAATGACACGGTTATATAGTCATGTAATGACAATGACACGATTTTATTTAGATCTACGTATCTATTGTACTTTTAAAATCATGTATTGGGGCGCCTGGGTGGCTCAGTTGGTTGGGTGTCCAACCGGCTCAGGTCATGCTCTCACGGTTTGTGCGTTCAAGCCCCGTGTCCGGGCGTCAGCACAGAGCTTGGAGCCTGCTCCGGATTCTGTGTCTCCCTCTCTCTCTGCCCCTCCCCCACTCATGACCTGATTCTCTGTCACTCAAAAAATAAGTAAAAACATTAAAAAAATAAAAATAAAATCATGTATGAATATGTCAGTGTAAGTGAATGTGTATGGAACCAATGTGTTTATTATGTGAATGTCACTATGTATTTGTGTGGTCGTCTATGTGTAGCACACATCGTACGTGTTTGTATCATTGCATGTATGGACACTATGAGTATGTATGTGTCCTGAGTGTGAGTATACCTGTGTGTCATTAGTTGACATGCCAACCATGTCACATGTGTATGTCACCATGTGTGTGGTCCTTACGTGGAAATGCACATGCATGATTGTGTATGCTTTGTATATTAGTATCTGTGCCCTTATTTATGTTTAAGATGCTTTGTGTGTGTGCCACAGTGTGTTTATACCCAATTCCTATACCGCCAAGGACCCACTGGACTTTCCTGGATTGGAACTGGAGATTGGCCGCCTTCAGCTTAGGGGTGTAGAAAGTAAGTAGAGGGCAGGGTAGGGCCAGAGCAAAGGAAGAAGGTAGGAGGGCCCCTAATAACCCTGCCCCTTCATGTCCTGCCCCCTTTCCTGGGTTTATAGGAAGGTCTCACCACCCCACCCCACCCCTGACCCTTCCTTCCCTCCCCGGCCGGCCAGGCCAGGCCAGGCCAGAGCTCTCTTCTGGTCTCACAGGCAGGGCCAAGCCCACTTCTCTCAAGGGAGTGAGTGATTCTCCTTTCCAACCCCTCCATGTCCCCACCCCATCCATGTGCCTGTTAAGCCCATTCAGCAACCTCCCCACCCCTCGCACCAGCAATAGAGTCTCAGACAAAACAGAAGTAGAGTCCATTTTTTATTAGTGTTGGGATCCCCGGCACCGCCACCCCATTCCCCTCCATCTAATCTCCTGTTCAGCCTCTTCCTCATCCTGGCATCTGTCCACTTGGGGCTGGTCCCCCGAGTGGGGGGCCCCTCCATAGCTGCAGCAAGTCCAAATGCGCAGCCTGCCCAGACCTCTGGGCGGCAGTGGAATTTTCCCAGTTGGCCAACCAGGAGAGACGAGGCCGTGGGGGGGGGGGGGGGGGGGGCGGCAGCAGAGGCCTTTCAGGGACCTGGGCTGGGTGGGGAGGGTGCCTGAGGGCTCACCTGTCACACACGGTCCTGAGCGTGGAGGAAGTCGGTGGCGGGCGGCGGCGGCGTGGTCTCCGAAGCCCACAGTACACTCATCCATAAAGTAGGAAACACTACACCCTCCAGTGCTGTTAGTAGTGCTTTCTACTTTATGGGTGACTGCACTGTCTGTCTGTCCGTCTGCGAGTACTCTTCAGGCCGCCCGCTCCTCCTGACTCCTGCTTCGAGAGCCCCCCAGCCCTCCCTGTGGCTTCCTATGACCCTACCACCCTGCCCTATGGCCCCCAGAAGGCCTGCTCTGGCCCTTGTGGGTGGTGACTCAGCATGGCGCCAGACCTTGCCTCCTCTACCTCCCTCCCCCCACTTCCTCTTTGGTTCCCTCTTCCCTTCCCCCTAGAGCTCCACCCCATCCCCCCACTTTTGGAAACACTCAGGTAGAGGCCATAGCTACTCTGGTTCTGAACCCCCCCCAGTTCTGACCCCCTGGGTGACCCCTTCCAGCCACACTACCCACCCTCCAGAGTCCAACTGAGGCAGCCACAGCCTCCTCCCACCAAGGCCTCTGTCCCCAGCCTCCTCACCAGCCCAAGGCCCTGACTCCTTCACCATCCAGCAGATCCCCAGGCAGAAGCCCAAGGCTATCACAGCAGAGATGGTGGCCATGTTGGGTGAAGGGAGACGCTTAGTGCCTCTGGATGACGCGGAGTCCAACTTTTCAGCCCCCATCACCCCCTGCTATCCCCACCCTACTCTCTGGCCCTTGTCCGCTGAAGCCCTGGACCCCTCCTTTCTTCATCTCGGGCCAGGAGCCATTTTACCTTCCTTGTCTAGAGGGAAGTCAAGGCCCAGGATTTTGAGTAGCTGTCCCACCATGAAGGCCGATAGATCTGCAGGTTATTGCGCCTCTTTGCCTCTTTGCCTAGAGCTTCACTAGTAAGCCCTGGCACCCAACTTCTCAAAGTCCCTCCCCAAAGTAAGAGCCTGCAACCCAAACCCCTCATCAGTCCTTGAAGCCAAGCGTTGAGGAGCCCTGGTTGGGGCTGAAGGGAAGGTTCAGATCCTTACCTGACGCTGCAAGGCCCAGGGGAGCAAGCCCTGTGCTCCAGGCTCCCAAGTGGGGTTCCCTTCAGGGCGGGCAGGGCTTATAACCCCAAGGCCACGTGGGCCAGATCTCAGGGCGCCCAACGGTCTTGGAGCCCGCCCCCACACCGCAGCGGAGATTAGCGCGCCCCTCCCCTCCCTGGGGAGGACCGACTGACAGGAAACCAGAGACAAGGCTGGGTATTGGTGGGAGGGGGGCTGAAGAGACCATCTCACACACCCTGGGCAGGTGGCTTCCGGGACCCCGGGCCTGCCCTTCCCCCATGGCACCAAGTCTAGGGGATGGTTCAAGAGCCTGGGACTGACTCAGGGTACTGGGGGTAACCCTAGGAGATAAGGGCTCCCTGTCAGGGCGTTCGGTGATTGCCAAAAACACAGGTTCCTGAATTCAGCACAAGAAAAAAGGACCTTTTCTCTGAGCTCCACCCCCATGATTCTAGCCCAGAAAACTCCCTTCCCTTTGCGACAGCACTGACATTCAGGCCACGCCATGGCTCCTCTATATGTGCTGCCTAGAGAGGCCACAAAGGTATAGATGCGTGAAGGGAGGCCCAAGCCAGCACATCACAACATCCTTCATGGAGTCAGAGGCCTCAGCACCCCACAAAGCTACCCCTCCCCCAGGCCCAGCCTCTGGAAGCCTAGGCCTGTGCCCTCAGCACAGCACAGAAGTCACACTCGGGCCAGGTGGGCCCGTTGGCACCAGACTGGATGTTTATGCTCCCTTGGGGGCCTGTAGAGATAGGAGGGCAGGGCAGAGCAGTGGTGAGACCAGGGTCTAGGGCAGGGCATAGGTGTCATTGGGCTTGGAGGAGCGGAGGAAGAGAGGCTCCATGGGGAGGTTCTGGCAGCCACCGGATGTGGGCACGGGGCCCGCCCACCTGCGTGCCACCCCCGCTTTCCCCATGGGGAAGGCAGGAAACTGCCCATCCCAGGGCCCCTGCTGGGGGAGGGGAACAAGGTGGGAGGCTGGGTGGGGGCTGGGGTGGGCTGGGTCTAGGCCACGCATTTTCGCCAAGGTTCTCCAAGCCTCTCAGGGGGCTTGTTTCTGGAATCAGG